TGACCATCAAGCTAATTTGCCATCCATCTGACACTGTAGGCATCAATGCTGCAGTTACCTAGTTTTTTTTATGAGCATGGCGTGATAAGTGATGTTATGTAGTATCAGACATAATTGATTTGGGTCAAACTGGTTTATGAAACTTCTGTCTGAGCCCCCCTTCCTGGTTAAATCACAGTCTCTCAGCATCCTGGCATGTTTTCCAGCCTGGGCTGGCCTGTTCTGTCTGCTCCAACAGAGAAGGGCTGGGGGGGGGGGGGGGGGGGAGAAGTAGGCAGGGACTGCCCATCCCAGGCAAACCCCAGCTTGGGTCTCAGCCCAGGGAGGGGGGTTAAACAGAGCTGCCCTGCCCTGCTTAACTTACTGCTGGCTGCGACTGTGGACTACAAATCCCAGAGGCACCTGGAAACAAGAAGAGGAAGTGATGAGCAACCCTTTAGGGTCCTGCTGCTGTGATTCTGGACTACGAATCCCAGTGACCCTGGGAGCAGCAGGAAGAAGAAGCAAACACACAGCCCATGCTGGCTACGTGCCAGAGAGCTGTGCACTAGCACCCCTCAGCTTCTGGCCTGAGCCTCTGTGGGCATGTGACTGTATTTCCGGAATCAAAAGTGAATGTCTGTCCAATTGTTTCTCAATTTAATGTCTGCAATTTAGACTAACCTGCAAAGATTGAATTGATTCAGCCTTGGGCTTTTTGACTGTCTGTACTTAGCCCTGGTAGTTATCCATAGTTCACAGGATGATATTCTTAGTTCAGTCACACCAAGGTAGAGACTCCTAATCAACAAAGGGACAGCTTCTGTCCATAGTTAATGCTAACTGGAAGTCCAAGGAAGATTGGTTAAGACAACTTTCCAACACCAAATGGAGGTGATCCCACAGGGAAGTGAGAGTGAGGAGCCTTCCCAAACCCATCCAGAAATTTTGAAACATTTTGCCATTGTTCTTCAAAACATTTAAATCATGATTAAACTTGCATAAGGTAAACATTATCTTTTTTTTAAGGATTTACCATCTTCTCTTTTATTTGCTGTTACTTAATTATCTTGTTTCAAATCTTATTATTCACTATTCCTTCCATTTTTTTTCTCTTTGCAATTTGACCATTGTGTTCCCCACACTTTCCTTATCATTAACTTAATCTTCTATTCTTGTTCCCCATCTCTGCCTTAATCTTCTTCCATTATTATCTTACTGTCTTTCATTTCTTTCCCCACTTGATCTTCTCTCTCACTCTCTTGCTCATTGTTCTGCTGATCAGGAAGATTCTGCCCTCTCTCCTTTTCTTTTTAATAATAGAGGTAATGGTTGCATTTCAGAATCTTTAGTGGTATCATCCTGGTTTTGTAGATGTTAGATAACCAATGCAAGGGTGCTACAGGACTGTGGTAATTTCAGTGAGTTGGGAGAGACCCTTGTTCAAAGGAAAGCTCCCAAAAATTATCTGGGCCAATCTGGTTCCTCTCCCCCCACCCCAAGGAATCACCTTTGTTTTAGATTGCAATTTATCTCCAGCACAACCCTGCTGATTGTGAAAAATGTACACAGGAATACTGGATCACAATGCTGAGGTTACAAAGGTGTGATAAATGCTCAAAGAACCAACACCCAGATCATTTCAGTGCTCCTTCTCTATTTTTCTTTGTTCAGTAGTAAAAGTCTCTCTCTCAGGTTATACTCTCCATGCAGGCCTGGAGATGGTCAGACACACATATGCTGGTGGCATTTCCTAGTAGAATATAGCAATGTTCCACTGCCCTTCATGAATGGCTTACACAAATCCCCTTATTCATAATAACCATAAAAGAACAAAAGACATTAAAGTTAAGCTAGTCTTGCCTTTGCTGCTTGTGGCCATCCTAATGCACAAAAAGGCCTGAATACACAGGGACGATGCCTGGAGAATTTTTAATGTTAACATAAATCATAATTAACAACTATAAGGCCAAGCTGTCCAAAACTAGCAAAGAGTCACTGAGAGCAGAGAGAACAAAATGCATTAAGAGTTCTCAGGAAAAGTCTTTTTCTTTTAAATATGACTAGCAAAAGAAAAAAAAGTGTGAAATAGTCTAGCAGTAGTCTTTTTATTAATATTTTATATTCCACAAGCACCCTGCCAGATTTTTCCCAGTTGTTCCAGTAAATTTCTACCCTGCCAGAAAACCACTCCTCTGAAAGTTCAGGTGGATTAGACCATTACCTTTGACACAAGCGTAATAATAACTGAGCTTACAATGAGTAACTACAGGCACTTAAGTATTAACTGAGACCAAAGTCACTGTATAATGCATCAATCATAAATACCAAGAACAAGGCAGAAACCCCAATTGGTTGGAGCATTCAAATTAATATGGCATTTGCATTTTGTTATCAATATCAGCTTCTCCTGAAACAGTAGCCAGTTTGAGTTCCAAATACAAGATGACAACTTTTTTTCTTAGCTTGTGAGTGGGTAAGATTATAGGAATAAGTTGCCAGCATCCCTCTAGTTTCAGTAGCCAGAAGAGCATAAGAAATGAACACATGTAATCACTGCAACAAGAAATCAAATACCACATCATAAATTTATTCATGGTCAGACTTAGCCTGGGAAATAAACCCTAAAAACTGTGAAGGGACACAAGTAAAATACTTATAAGAGAATATTAACCACATTCTACTATTTCTATCTACAAGCACTGCAGCAAGTTATAAACAATATTAAATTGCACAGTCTAGCTTGTTTCCCTCCCTCTGCCTGCCTCAGAAGAGTGATTTTAAAGTAAGAGAAACTCAACATGATCTTTGAAGAATCTCTTCTCTTCTACTTGATCTAATCTCATCATGTAATTGGCATTTTGTCTCAAGTGTGCTTATATCCATTCCATAGACATGTTGTATTGGTAGGGCTGAGTGATCCACACTGTCTTGGTCAACGGCTCACAACCATTTTCCCTAACACTAGTATTGCTGTTCCAGGCTATTGTGGCTGATACTTAAAACTCCATGTAGGGGCAGCCAAAAATCAAGAAAAGTGTTTCACAAAAAGCCACCTGAAATTTTGATATTTGGTTTTGTTCTGATTCAGAATGAAAAACTAGGCCAATATGAAATTCTCTTCTGAAAAGACAGACCCACAATACCCAAAAGCCCATTGATTACAGCACTCACCTGGGACATGAGAAATCCTGATTTAGGTCCCCCACTCTGTTATTCAGAGGAATCTGACTTTTACAACAAATAATCATTTCATTAAAAAAAAAATCCTGATCAGCTTTAGGTCCAACCCTTCCTTCAGAATGCTGAAAGTATCCCTAAATTCATCAATGTCAACGGCAACTGAAGACATGTGGCCCTACATGCTGGGAACTAGCACACCCCCATTTCAGTTAAGTTCTCTCTGAACTCTATTCAGATATTAAACAACTTCAAACCCATTTGCAATATTATGAACAATTCAACCATATCACCACTGTGAGTTAGAACAGAAATAATTGGAGGAGATATAGTTAGCAATGACTTGCAGTATGAAGTTCTTAATCTAGTGCACCTATTACCTGAAAAAAAAATTAGAAAACTTCAGACTGGTATGTCCTCCTGCTTTTGTTCCACAGGACACATATCTCTCCCTAGATCATTTTTATCTCAGTTTCCCAGTGACCTGCTTCCTATTCCAACATCAGTGTCAGAAGCAGTCCTATTTTCTCCTCGTATTAAAACTCTCTGCTATGGAAATTAGATTTTTATTGTTCCAAATTAACTTAATTGATCCAGACCTTTAACACATCTAAAACAGAAGAGTACAACTGAAGTGAGTGGAACAATGATCATGTAGGGTAGATAGAAATCTGGCTTATCATTTAAGGATTTTTGTTTGTTTGTTTCTGTTTTGTTTTGCTATTCAATGGGTGCATCTACAAGTGACTATTAATACAACACAATAAACTTTGGCCCAGTTCACGGCAGAGTTTACTGCTCTCAGGTGCCATGTTTATATGTGTGACCAGGACTGCAGCATGTTGAATCAGGGAAGCACAGCCGCAGCTGGCAGGAGGTCCTAGGGGTTAGCCTGCCAGCCTGGGGCTGCTTTGACCAGCCTCAACATACTACAGAGGGGCTGGCTGGGGCATGAAGGTGCTTCAGTGCAGCACTAGCTGGCAGGCAGCCCCTGTACTAAAGCACCATCGTGTTCCAATCAGCCCAGTCAAAACCTACATCTATATGGCACGGAATAAATAACTCCACCACAGAATAGGACTCATCTTTGGCAGTACTAACCTACAGTATAGTTAATTAGTTTATTCTACCCTAATAGCTTAGCAGGTGTATACCAGTGATGCTTTAATGCAGAACAAATTAGGCAACTGTGCAGTAAGTGTCTTGTGTAGATGCGCCCAATGAGAATGATTTCACCTCTTTTATATCTCATCACTTTGTCTTCTTATGGAACCACATTCTTTCTTGTTTCCAAGTTTTTGCAAACAGCAAAACATGTTAGCACTGCCATATACTATTTCTATTATATTGGTACAAATCATATGCCTTTTGAATTTCATAGGATTTTTGCCATAGATTTCAGCGGGACCAGGACTTAGACGTGTGTGTGTGTGTGCGCGCGCGCGCGTCTTACCCTTAGCCAAACCTACCACATCATAAAGTACTTAGGTTAGTTAATTTAGAGTGCACTGAAGATGTAAGAAATATGGACTATGTGACACGCTATTTACATTAGTGTATTCCTTAAATTCTATCATCCAAGTCCATTCATTCTCAACCCTCATCATTATATTTATTCTTTTCTACCCTCTCCCAATTCCTTCTGTAATTGTTTTTTTATAGGAAAGTGACCAAATCTATAAATAGCTCTTCACCACTTTAGTTTAATTGGCACCACCCAAGAGGAAGTATTATCTCCCCGACAATATGGACAATCCTCTTTCCTTGTATTTCCATAGATTGCCTCTTCTTCTTGCTAAATAACATTCCCAGGTTCACTATAGACAAGGGTCAATACTCACTATGTGCAGCTGCAGAAAATCACCAAGCCCAGGAGCACTGTCAATTCGAACCAGGATGCCATCTTTCACAGTTGTGCTGAAGCCTACAGCAAGACGGTCTGTCCTCGTGCTTGGTCTGTCATTTGCTGGCCAGGTGTACAGGATGAGGCCTCCACTTTTTCCAAAGATATACGTGGCACCAGCTGCAAAAAAAGAGGGAGGCATTAGTTCACTAGGATTTTTGCCAGCTATGATAGCACTGTTTTCGCTCCATAGAGGAATATATGAAACTGCAAGAATTTCATTAGTAAGTGATGAAATCCAAGGCCTACTAGGCTATTGTCACCCTAAGTTAAGATGTGAGCAAAAGGAATTAACAACAGAGGAGATGTTATGGAAATAAACTCATTCATTTCCAGGCCCTCACTAAGTAATAGCAGAGGACGGTCTCCAAAACCTTTACACATCATGACAGAAAATATTGGAAACTTTCCTAACATTGGAATTAATTCCACATCTGATGCAAGACATTAGTAATTATAACACACTCCCTACTACATATCAGATTCAAAATACATCCACCCCTCTGCCATTAATCCAAAACTAACCTTTTGGTAATAGATGATACAAAGAATAAAAGCAAACTCCACCTTTAAGTAAGCTTGTCATTCTGATGATCATAGCTGACTGACACCACTTTGAAGAGACCCTTTTAAATGAATAGTTATGCTATTCCCAACATCTTTGTATATCTACTCAGTAATAACAAGGGAACTGCAAATAGATAAACACTGCTTCCTTGTAGGAAGGAATAAATCTCAGAAGACAGGCCTACTACACATATCCTGCTACAGTGTGTTTTAGGTAATAGTACCCAAGTCAAAACAAGCAACATTTGCAGTGAAGACAGCTAGAGAGTTTATCGAGTACCTACGACTTCATTATTGCTAACACAAGCTTGGGCAACGCCAAGTATTGCGCTACTTTAAAAGAAAAATGACAACACTAGTCTTGCTTTAGAAATGTGGAGATCAGCCTCACTTGGGGATTCAAAATGAATGTTCTGTAGATTCCCTCGAGGCTAAGTTTGTCTCTAGCTGACTGCTATGCACAGTGGGCCACTCTCCTCTCTCACGATTTTTCAAGACATTAAGACATCTGGTCAGCATATTACCAGCACTATTTAATTTCATGAGTCTGAGAAGGCCCACTTAACTACCTTTTTAAAATAATGCCTAACTTATATTGAACTGAGCCCCTCCCCCCCAGCCCCTACTCCCATCCCTATAAAGTGTCATTTTAATTCAACAGGACAAGCCACTTTTCACAAATGAGGAAAGTGTGGCAGTACACCTTTAGGTGCCTGCCTCTTTAAGGGCTGGAGGCAGGTGGGTGGGCTAACTCATGATCTAGCCCTGGAAAGGCTCCCTGTCACAGAAGGCAAGTGCTAATAGGATGCATTTTACATATAGGAGAATTGAGAATCAAAAAAGTTGAGGAGTCAGATTCTGAGATGTGCTTAGCATAAATAATCAGGACCCAAATTTAATATTAGCCACTGTGCTTCTTAGAAAATACGGCCATAAGAGTAATAGTTTCATAGTTGTTACAGGCTGGAAGGGACCTTACAGATCATCCAGTCCAGCCCCCTGCTGTTGGGATGATGGAAAATGCTTTCCCAAAAATCACACGCTTTATCTGTAGGAAGATTACGAATACCAGGAACTGCAACTACTTATCTACTGAGCTACACTGATCTTCACATAGGTAGAAACAATACTCCTTCCCAAAGAGTCACAGCAAACTACATATTCAGTGCCATCAACTGGTTTCCACCAACAGCTGCAGACAAAAGATACCAAAGAAAAACAGAGGAGGAATAAGTGTTTTATCTACTTGATCAAATATATTAGTGTTTGCCTGCATGAGACTAAAAATATTTTATCAGCAACATATGAATCCCAAAGTGGATCAAGCACAAATGGATACAGGTGCGGGTTGGATGAGTTGTTACTAAAAATGGGTCACGTATAAGATTCATAGATTCATAGATGCTAGGGTCAGAAGGGACCTCAATAGATCATCGAGTCCGACCCCCTGCATA